AAGTAAATTTTAGCAAATATTCTAGAAAAAATATTAAAAGCGTAGAATTTTTTAATTATTTTTAAAATAATAGAAGATTTTAATAATAATTATTTATTATTTTCTCAGAATTTTTTTTATTAAATTTTCGGAGTTAATGTTTTATAAAGATTTTTCTTAATTGTTGTGTAAATAAAAAAAAGGAATCTCATTTTATTTCTATTTTATCGAAACTCAAAGGATAAAACCTGAAATGTAAATTATATAATGTCTAATATGATATATTTAAAAGTTTCATAGAGATTCATGTCTCATTTTTTATATACCAATTTTTTGATAATGCACATCGACATATCTTTCTGATATAATAGTAATTAATTTGAATATTGACATACCATTTTTCTTCTTTCCGAGCTTCAATAAATTGAGATTATTGCAAAGTTATGATTAATCAAAAAAAAAATTCAAAATATTCTATTTGGATTAGATAAATTTGTAATTGTTTATGAAGAGTAAATTATGGAAATAAAAAATTTTATCTTTAGTTGTTTTAGTTTTTTATTTTTGCTGATTTCACATATTTTATTAATAAAATCTCTTTCTCTATGTGATTCCAGTTGTCTAATATTTTAGCTTCCTATATTTATTATACAATCTATAACTTCATCTCCTCAAATTTCCTTATCTTGACTCTTATCGCCTGATGGTTCAAAGAAATTTAATACTTCTTGATAATATTATCTTTACTCTCCAATAATAACTATATTAATATTATATAAATAATTATAAGATTTATACTTTATAAATTATTACCAGTATAGTAAGAAATTTTAAAATATAATTTATTTTATATTTTTTTGAGTTTATTAAATTTTAACACAAAAGATTATATATTATAGTCTAACTAAAAAATATAAAAGAATTTCACCATTTTCTAAAAATAATACCAGTTCAATTTAATACTCATTTTTCCCAATAAATTGGAATTAAAATAAATCAGGATTTTTTGAAAATAAATATAAAATTTACCAAATCAAGAAAAAAAGATGTTCCAGTATCGGGAAATCGGGCAAAATGGGTTAAGTCTTTATTTAATTACTCTTACATTTTTATTCAAATCTGCTACAAGCTATGTCTTTGGATTTTTTACTATCTGAGAAAAAATTTTTAAAATAGTTTTATTGAAACGCCCTATTTTTATTGAAATAGCGGAGGATCTAGGGAAATGTTTTAATATTTCCCTTATTAGATGCATCTGTTATGCTTATGAATTCAAATCGTCAAAAATTAACATCCTGGATTCAGGTTTTAAAACATTGGTGATAGCCTTACTCATTTTTGTTCCACCACAATTAAAGTTTTCTCTTATCTTGGAGTGGTTATATTATGTGGAAAAGATTCGAGCCACATTGTGATGATAAGTAGCTCTGTGAATGTTGTACTACATGATAAGTGTATATCTAAAGTATATAAAATATAAAAAGATAATCAATTTTGTTTGGATATTTAAATCAAAAAATATTATCACTGTATTTTATTAAAAAATAATTTATAAGAACTAACAACATATCCTAATCTTTATATGCTCATTTTTCAAGAAATCTATACTATTTTCAGAAAGTTATCCGTCTCATCCGAATTTAATATTGATTATGAATACGTAAGTGATTTACGCTTCTGAACTTCTATTCCTATATAATTATTTTAAAATGTAAATTTAGAATATTTGTCATTAATTTTAAAAGGTGATTTCTTAATTAGTTATAAAGATATTTGCATAACACATATGATAAATTAATAAACAATCTTAACAAATAGAGTTTCTTATCGGTTTATAATAAAAATTTAAAATTTATAGTTATATCTTTTCAAACATCGATAAAGTATGAAATCCTCATATTTATCATCAGCGATTGAATATTTATGCGGAATTACCAGCTCGATAAGGCTGCTAGGATTCGGGGGTGCAAAGGAACTCCATGTTTGGTGAATTGTACGCTTCATAAGACTTAATTGAGATACGTGTTTCGCCACAAGATTTTGGAATTTCTATAGTGTTATTCAAAGCTTCATTCTTAATTGAATGAATTATTTTCTTGGTTTCCATTTCTATTGGATTTTAGGAGATGATTTTGTAAGTCGTACAGGGCATTTAAATATATCTGTAATAGTTTGTCTTTGAGACAACTTTAGTGGAACAAATAATTTTTAAGTTAAGATCTCCTTATTTTTTCTTGATAATTTAATTTATACGACTCCGAAATAAAGAGGCAAGAATGGCAAAAATATTTATAATTGATTATATAGGGGAATGGCACCAGTTTGAGTAAAAAATTTAGCTAAATAGTTATAATTTATCATAAATAATATTAAATTAATTTTTCGTATAGCTATTTTTTAATATTTTGAAAACCCTGCATAGAGTAATGATTAATATTTAAACTGAAAAAATCATGCTTATGCACTAAAAAATAAAAAAAAAAGAATTTTAAATTTCTGAGAGATATATTATTCTTTCTGATAAATTCAATTCTGGCAAAATTAAAATTTTTATCTTCTGGGAATTCAGTAAAAATTGCTTTAAGAAGTTTTAATTCTGAGTAATAAATATATGCTGAATCAGCAACCTAAATGTAATGTTAGGAACATTACATATTGGCTTAAAGTTTCAGAATTAGTGCTTACCAAAGTTTGGCATTAATATTATGATTTAAATTCCTATTAAATTTTTTGAAAATATAACTAAATAAGATTGATAAATTTTTTGAATTGGGGAAATCCCCTATTTAACCTATATGTAATTTATTTTTGAATTGTCATTCAAAATTGACTAAACAGTAATGTTGTAGTTTTTATTTAACTATTCTGTTTTGTTTAGTGATTGCCAAAACAAAGGTTATGCATTTGACTGTAAAATATGATCAAATTCAAATAAATATTTTTTTCATATTCAAGATGAATATTTTCTTTAATATTTTTTAACAGTTTTCTTGTTATCGAAATCTTCAATCGATTTCTGTTTTCGTAATATTATAAATCGACCAATTTCTTTCTGAAGAAGTTGAATACTAGGAATTAATAGTAAATAGTGGTTAAATTCCACTGCTTGAGGTTGGAATCTGATTGCTTCTTTTACTGTTTTCCCGATTATTTTCTATAAAACATCCCGGGTTTGCTTTTTAAATTTATATCACTTACTATTTTTATCACCACTACCTTTTATGCCTAATTCTTGTATTATATCATATACATCATCAAATTCATTATTAGTAAAATGCTCATCTTCAGTTTTTTAGAATATTTGACCAGGTTAAATTCCTCCGTTCAATTGACCAACTTGCCAACCCTGCCCAAAATTGATTGATGAATTTATAAATATTAAGTCATCAGACAATAAATATTAATGCAACCCAAATATCAATTTCACCAGTCAAGATTAACTAATTAACTCAATGATTAATATATTGATAAAGCTGAGTTCCTTATTCGCGATTTTAATAAAATAAGAAGTTTGAAGACAAGCATTGGACAGGATTGCATAAAAAGTATATTCCAATAATAAATTTTATAAACCAAATCTAGGTTATTAAGGTTAAAATATAAAATCATTGAATCAAACCTGCTTAAAAAATATTATTGTAATATAATTATAAAATAAATGTTTCAAAATAAAATAGTTGTTATTAGCAATTATCGCGATGATAACCTCGCTATAAAATCCATTCACGATAAAAGTATCGCTGAATTGACATGGAATCTCCTCAGTAATCCAGGATGTCTAATTTAAACGTTTTAATCAATAAAGTAATTTAGATTTATCATTAAAATTTTGAAATATTGGATTGAATTTTAGTTAGAATATCTTATGACTGGTAGTAGTAGTATTCATTTGTAATAAAATAAAAATGTCATGTTTCTTTGTATAAATGATTACTATGTATGCATAGATATCCACCAACTCTAAGATAACCAAAATGTTTACCCATCTTAATTTATATATCCTATTTCAAGATATTAGCTATTTTCTTCAATTTGTAGTCTTAAATTTTTTAAAATTGGTATAGGTTCGACCTCCATAAATTTATCTATGATAGTTTGACAAAAAATTAGCAAACATATTAGCCATAAGTCGATTTACCAATGGTCATATTTTATGTAAATTTAGAAATCCTGGGTTTTCGAATTTACTCATAATAGAGGACGTCTATTAATATTATCTTTGAAAAATCGGAAAGTCCCTTCAAAATATGATTATCAAATTTATGCAATTGTAGGACGAGTTTCCTCATCAACAACGTTTAGATTCAAAAAGATATTAATTCCATAAGAGAATTTTTTTTATTACAACAAACTATTTTATTATAACCTAAAAATAAATCAGTAATCATTTTTAGCAACATTTCAAAGAAGAACAGATCAAAAGAAAGGGCGAACACATTATGTAGCGAAATGAAAATTTTTTAAATCTTGGCCCTATATGCAATAGCGGTATAAGACCCAAGTTGAAAGCTTCTATCTCTAGAAACCGTTAAATTTTAAGATAGTATACAAGTTTAGATTGCACGAATGCAAAGGGCATAGGGTGCATTTTCTTTATAAATATAATAAATGCTCTTAGTTTTATTTGAAAAATAAAGTCTATGATTGTATACAATAGATAAATTTGGTCATTATTTAGCATTATCATTGTACTATTATAATAGGTCTATAATAAAAATATTAAATAATATTTTACAGCAATATATTTTGTCATTTCTTTTAAAAATTAACCAGGATTTGGAAAGATTTTGAAAATAATCATATTTTAGCATAGTAGGACATTTTTCAATAAAAGTTTTGAAAAAATTGAGTTTTCATGATTATTACTTAAATTGAAAATTTAAGCATCTATAATATAAGAGTGGTCACATAAATAAAGTGTGGTAGTAAATGCTTGTTTTTAATTATTATCTTTTCAATCTAAAGTTATTAATTAATCTTTAAAATTCCAAGATATTTAAATTTTTTTATGAATTTTTTAGGCCTTCCTCATTATCTTCATCGTATCCCTTACATGATTGGATAAATGATCTTGGCATATGGAATGATATTACTATATCATATAAAAATATTCTCGGTACTCGCAATGCAAACAACCTTATCACATTACCTCTTCCACTTGAAAAAGATTTAGCAAGTATTTTTATGTTTATTCTAATCACCGATTGAATACATCCCCATTGTTAAATTCCTTATAGTTTGGTCTCTAAATTTTAAATACAAATACTGCCAATAATATTTATTTTCAATTTTCAGTCATGATTATATTATTTAAAAAAATATAATATAGGTTACAATATTTATTATCAGAATCGATAAAAAATATTTATTAATCTTTTCTCAATTTTTTATTTTTGCCTTTTTAAAAATAATTTATTTATTTTCCCTGTCTTTATTCTTCTCACTTTTTTATTTTTTTCATTCTACATAATAATTTTATGATTTTTTTCTACTTATAATTTTTTGAATTTCACTTAATGGCAAAAAAAATTTTTTATTAGTATTTAATGCATATCAAATTATTTCATTATAATTACGATGTATTTATAGTAATAAAAAACAAAAATTTATATTAATCATTAATAATTTCCCCTCTTATATTTTGGAATATTGGTCTCCATATTTCTAAAATCATTATGTACATTTTCCTCAGATATTCCTCTTTCTCCATGTTCTATAAAGCGAATTAATCCACATTATTAGGATTATTATTTTTGACAAAATCCTTTTGAAAAAACAAATTTTCAATGGGAATAAGATAAGGGCTGTTTTGTTGTAAATATTTTATTTTATGCCCTCTCCTTTCTATCGATTCTCGAATTAGATGGCTATGATTAATTAAAACATTATTCATCATATTACCTTCTTCAAAATGATTGATTTAGTATTTCATTTACAAAGTTACTAACGTGTAGAGCGTTGAAATGAACCATCAAGAACCTCGAATCTTAGTATTTCCGCAATCTTGAGAAGAGCAAGGATTTTGCAATCCAAATTTAAATGTATATAATTTAATGTATATTCTTCCTGTTCTTGATTTAATTTATTGCGTGCACCTGAACCTCCTTTGGGTATTATATTTTATTCTATTTTTAAGATTATTTTATATTTATCACAGTTTTATGAGGATATATTTAAAAAATATTTTAAAAAATTTTGATTGCCAAAAGAGAGATAGAAATTAAGGGAAATTTTAAAAATATTAATATAAGGAGAAAAAAATTATAAAAAGTCAAATATAGGATTTAAAAAAATTTAAATAACAGAGAAGTTAATAAAAATGACATTAAAAAATATAAATTATTTTTAAAGAGACAAAAGATTAAAAATGGCTTAAAGAGATTTGCAAAAGGTTAGAAATAAAATAAGAAAATTTGAAAAAAAATAGCGATCTTCATTTTTTGAATGAAAATTTTACATTTTTTATTGACCATTTTTCTTTTTGTTTAACACCTTTCCTTTTTATTAGACCTTTTCCTTTTTTGATCAGACTTTTGCCTTTTGATTGACATTTACATTTTATGATAGGATCTTCCTTTTTGATTGGAACTTTTCCTTTTTTGAATGGGAAACCCTATAGCCTAAGTCTTTCTTGGGGGTTTCGATCATTGAGAGTATAAAGCTGAGATAGTTGCATTTTATTATGCTCATGGCTAACCTTTGACGTAGGTAGAATCCCTCGTTGGGACTCTAGCAGATAATGAGAGCCGAAAGATGTTAGAGTCGTGGTGATTAGTGGTACGAATATAAAGTTGGCAGATAGCGATGGTAAATACTTAGCTAGTTTATTCGTGGCGTTAGAGCCTGCATATTTATATTGGAAGTGGCAAGAGGAGGATCGATGCATGATAAATCTATGGTTAGGAATTCCCCATACTTCCAAGAGACCGCTTACCATCGGAATTGTAAAGGCCAGTAGGTTCAAGGGTTGATGTGATGCCGGATTTCAAGGCCCTGACAATATTGTTATTAAATTTTGAATGTCTAATGAATTTGCCTCGTGCTTGCAGTGCAAAGAGTGACGGCCTTTGAAGTTTACCGACGTTTAACAGAGGATACATTCATAGAATATTACCTTATCACAATTAAGTCTAAGTCCGACTTAGCTCATCATTGCTTAGGAGCTGGTCAAGGTTTCGTGTTGGGAAAGCTTCGAGAAATTCGTACTGTACGAAAATGGAGAAGAGTAGAGAGTGGTCCTCGGGTTGGCTCCTCGATTTAAGGTATGCAACTGCCAACTAGAGGCGTATCCCAGTCCTTCAGTAGTGCCAATGAGGAAGGATCGACTAATGAGAGAGACTTCCATAGATCAATTGCTTGTAAGAGCAAGGGTCAGGATGTTTTGTGAGTGTGTGTATGACAGGCTAGCAAGACAGGCGAGAGGATATGAACGCACTAACCGAAAGTAGAGATGGTGACCTTATGCCAATGCAGCCGGATTTGGTTGGTAAGGTAGCCTGTAATCAAGATAGGTCTCCAAATTTAAGATTGAGTATATCTTTTATGAGGCGTTTAATCTCGAGTTCATGTGCAGCGAGGTTGACATCGTATTGAAAGATTCATGACGATCGGAGTGTATATAAAATTCTTGGAATTAGAAGGTAGTTCTTTAATAGGAAGAAAGCTTGGTGAGCTGGGAGGCGGGATAGTGTATTGCGCATGAACGATATCTCTTAAAATATCGGCGAAGAACTTGATAAAGGATTCATCTTTACCTACTGGAGATCCGAGATGTGTTAAAGCTTTCAGTGGTGTATAATTGAACATAGTATCATAGTTAAGGTCGATGATCCCAAGAGGACAATATTTATTGTCTTGATTAATTCGCAGTCCCAAACTGCTCTTGCTGGATTTTATTATTTGGATTGCCTTCATAACTTCAGCCGGTGGGCCGCCTAGTATACCATCGTCGATATACCAATTATGAAGATTTAGCTTGCATTAATCATTATCAATTTTAGAAAGTAAAATATGCAATCAATAAAGAAAAAAAATACAATTTTTCTAGATATTCAATTAAAATTTAAAAATTATGTTTCTTGAAATACATATTTCCAGATTTGCCTGGAAATCTTAAAGAGGATATTTTGGAACATGTAATAATTCTGATATTGTATAAAACATTTAAAATAAAATTAATTTTAAATTTTTTGCTAGTAAATTATGTTCATATATGGAGTAGAATAGAAAATAAATAAATAAAAATTAGAGCCACTTGGATTTAAAGTTAAATAAAAATTTTATGTCTGGTTAGGTTCGATATTGTATATTGATCTCATATTTTATTCAAAATAAAATTTTTTTAATTTAATTTTAATAAATATAATATTTTTCGTTGTACCTGTTAATAATAATTGGATATGGTTAACTTTCGCTATCTTTTACAAAATTTCCCCTAAGAACTTAACGATTATTCCTAATATAAGGTCAAGCCCTTAGTCAGGAATTTTCAGCTGGGCTAAAAAAGTTAAAATAGTGTAAGTATGTGTAATGAACAAAATCAGATTCGTGATATTGATAATCGACCGATATCAATTTAATATAGGATCGGCCTCCAAAAAGAAATGTATTGATTTTCATTTCGTGTTTAGAAATCGATTGGAGGGGGTGGGGAAATGGCTGCTGAATAAAGTGAGCAATTTGTTTTTTAAATTTTGGTTCATATTTAATAATGATTGATACTTATTTAGTAGTAGTTACACATAAATTCATAAAAAAACCAAAAGACAATATGCTTTTTCTTTACCCGATTATATTATTCCAATTCATATATCGCCAATTCTCTCTTATTATTTTTGAATATTTCATTAATTTATTAAGAACCTCCTGATCGCTCTTGCCTTTTAACACTTGACTACAAACCCTTAGCTCCTTTAATCAATAATAACGATAATATACTCACTATAACTTCGAATATCTTGAATAAATACAACAGCAATTGTCTCACCAAAATAACTCATGATTGCAAAACACTATTGATGGCTGCCAACTCATTTCTGAGTACTTTATCTAAATCATATCTTTATGAAGACCCTTACTCCATTATTCATCACAATATGGTCCCAAATATGCCAACATCCCGATTCCCTACCAGCCTAGAAGAAGTTTTTAAATTCGAGGCCACCGACATTATAAACAAAGTAACTATAGAAGAATTCTAATAACAATTTTATTTTCTTCCAGATTAGAGATCTGCAATTTTTATATAAGGGCCGGGCAATTTATATACAATATTTTCAATCCAGGCCATAAAATTTATACATAAAAATCAGGCAGGACCTCGCAAATAATTTTTCATTAAATTTAGGTCAACCCGGGCATTCAAATTGGTATATTTTTTTGAATTTCAAACTAATATTCTGATTAACACTTTATGAAATTAAATTACAATATGCTTATTTCTTGGTATTTTAAGAGAGTATCTATAATACTTAATTCAATAAAATTAATAATAAATTCACAAAAAATTGAACAAGTTATTTATTAGTAAAGCTCACAAACCGGATCGCGGTCCTCCGATAAAAGAACTGTCCACACCGTGGTTCTAAATAAAAAGATTCTTTTATCTTTTTTGTTATTTTAAAAATATTTTTTTTCCCTTATTTAATTTTTTTTTATCATTTTATTAAATATAAAACATTTATGTTAACAATATCACAATGTATTTTACAAATATCTAATTTAAAAGTAAAATGCTTTTTTGACAATTTTTTCGTTTTCGTAGTATTAATAAATAAAAATAACTAAAAATTACAAAAACTAAAGTAATTCTTCTAGAAAAGTAAGAAAATAAAATATACACAAAAATTTACTAAAATGAAAATAATTAAAAGACCGATTCGGACTCTGGTTCTTAAATCAATCCCTGTCTAAAACGATCGATCGAACCGTTAACCTTGGCTATTTTTTATGATATGATATAAATAATTAATTAATAAAACGGTTCTAGAAAGAAGATACCCATAGAGGAGAGATATAAGAGCCTTAATTGACATTGGGAAAAGAGTAAACATAGATGTAATAGCAGTAAAATTCGAGCGAAAAGATTAACGAGCCAGGGCCTACTTTTCGTAAAATTATAACAACCTGGGACAGCCCTGACTTCAATTTTATACGGGCCGGGCATTTTTTAAAAATAAATATTAAATTTTAAGCTTGGGACTGTTATTTCTAATGATATCAATATTTATGCTTTGTTAATTTTCATGATCTTGGTCAAATAATTTGGGTAGTTCAGAGGTTAGATCATAATACGAAATTAAATTTTAATTGCAAACAAGAGTCATGAGTGAATATCTTTAAAAGCTCATAGTCAAATTGATCACGATTCCGTGACCCCTAATTTTAATGAAATTTAATATACAAATTAAGGATCATGTAACCTACCTTCAGGTATAAGGCGTTTTCAAACATTTTTGATATTTATATCAGAGACTTGCCCATAAAATCTTTATAAATAAATCTGGGCCTAGTGCACCGGCCGGCCGTTGGCCACCGCCATTGAAACTCACGCTCTAATGGGCGGCGCAATTAAAATAATTTTCATATTTTATACATTTTTATGTCAATAATTGGTAAGCATTACTGCTGTATCAGGATTTTAATGAATATTTATTTTATAACTATATTGACATAATTATCTTGACATAGAATTCATTTAATCAATCTAAAATTTCAAAAGTTACCATAATTTTGCTTATTTATAAAATGAAGACCCAGTGTTAGAAAGGTTGTTTTATTAGGTGAATACGAACACAGTGTATGCTTAGGTTGTTTTAAATGCTATTAAATAAAAATTTTATAGCACTAACTCACCCCGATCCAAAGAAATACGCGAAAATCGCGCAATGCGTAATTTCATTAAATCTTGTTTTTTTTTAAAAAAAAATACCTAAGATAGAGTTAAAAATTATTAGATATCATTTTAATAGACCTTAAAATTTTACATGGGAAAATATCGAAAAAAAATAAAAATTTCAAAGCGTCTATTTTCCATAAAAATAAAAAATTAACATTGTTAAGAAGTGGTTTTTTTAGGTGCTGATATTCTCTAAAAATATCTTTATATTAAACTATTCAATAAAAAATCTCGATAGCCATTTTTTTAAATTTTATTTAAATTATGTTTAAAAATACAAAAGATTATATAGATGGCGATATATTTAAAAATGATTATAATATTACATATTTAATAAAAATATATATTGGTATTAAAATTTAAAAAATCTATTGAGTATAACCAATATGATAATCTGGGGCATTATTTAAGCAAACAACCCAATCAGATATGATTATTAGGATGCTATATTTTAAAATTTTATATATAAAAAATAACACTTTTTTAAGCTTATTATATTTTGTGCTTATTAATAGAATATTTTTTTTAGGTAGATCCTGTCACTGTTATAGGATCTTTTTTTAATTGTGGGGTAAAAGAAGGATGATAATGGTTCATGGAGATGTAAAAAGGATTGTAATCTCCTTAGTAATTATATTCTTTTTTGTACTGTGTCTAACCACCAAAAACATCATCAAAATATAAATCCTTTGATATCAACAAAAAGCAAATTATAGGCATTTGAGATAATGTTAATTATAAAGTTGCATATTAATATATTTTTGATTTAAGTTTATTTAAGCTCAAAGGAAATGCAGCATGTATTTCCCGAGTTTCTGGAATGCAGAGTTATTAACCCTACTTTTAAATTATTATTTTTTAAAAGTATTGTCTACCTTTTATAAAAAAAATTATTTTTTGCTTATAATGTAATTGTATAGTATATAATACATGAAAATCAACATTTATAAATATTAAATATAAATAATTTTTATTAAAAAATTTATGGTAATATTCATTTATTTATTTTATTGCATTTTAATAAAAATCATTTCTATGCCCCTAGTCTAGAGCGATTATCAAAAAGTATTAGCTTCGCCTTACTAAATAATCTTTCAACCTAGCACTTGAGGGCAAGACAGTATTTAATATTAAAAATTTTAAATTTAAAAAAATGATCTACAGGATTTTCTATTATATTAGAATCCTTTATTTCAAAAAAATTATCAGTGAAAGTCGTTTTTGTGGTTGTAACTAGGGCATCTTTGTTTGTTATGAGACTATTCAGCTTTCACATGAGCCTATCAAGTGATCTTTAGCATTATCGGAATTGGTATATGGGCAGTTAATAAATTATTTAATCAGATTCAAAACAATTATATATCATCTTAGATTTCTATATATATAATATTGAATACAAAATAAACTAAACCAACTTTAATTATGAATCAATCATATTACATTTATTTTTGCTATGAAAATAAAATTTCCATAATATAATAAATAAATTTTATTTACTATCTCTCAATGCCTTTTACTATAGCTGTAAGATCAACGTTTGGGTTATTTTGGGATTTATGCCCATTTTTTCTTTATTTATAAAAAATTAGGTATAATCTTCTACATGAGCATAATGAAATAAATATGAATATAATGGAGAGAAAAAGAAATAGATATAATAAAGAAAAGAGCTAAAAATTTTATAATTGAAAAATTTAAAATTCATATGCTCCATAAAGTTTCAACATTTTTAATACCAATGTTCCGACAAATGAGGATGTTTTCGTTGGAAGAAATTAATGAAGTAAAAAAACAGATTGAAAACTTGTTAGATTTGATTTACATAGAAGAATGTAACATCGACGTAGATGAAAATTTGATTTTACCCATTTCCCCAAAAGCAAAGAGAATCCAATTAAAAGGTATTAATAAATTATAAATTCGTTTAGCTACTTATTAAATGTAATATTTGAAATAAATAGCATCCACATCAAAATTAAACCCCAACAGATGGGAGGATAAGGTTGTTACTGAGGATAATACCGTACATAATGACATAACAAAATATTTAAATCTTAAAGTAACCATTTTTGATATGTATAATTTAGCATAATTTTAAGATGCATATATTACAATTAATATAAATTTATTATTATAGGTTCACTTTTATTTAAAGATTTCAATTGAGGAAGAGGATATACTTCAAAAGAATGTCCTACTTTGGTGGAAACGGCAAGAAAAAGATTTGTCAAAGCTATCAATATTAGCAAGAAAAATATTAGCAATTCCTGCAACTAGTGCTACTTCTGAAAGAGGATTTAGCATTGCCGGAAGGTTTTTATAACAAAGTAGAACGTGTTTGAATCCCGAAAATGTGGATTCATTATTATTTTTGCATTATAATTACTTATAATATTTATTATATATTTATATTTGATAAAATAAATTATCCATAATTTAAATTGAATATTTTTTAAGCTTAATATAGTAATTTCCTAGTTTATAAAACTTATAGAGATGTAATGTTGAAACTATTTTCATTAAATGCTTAAAATAGCGGGCTTGGGTAAAAAAATTTTTATAAATAATGGGCGGACGGGCTAGAAATTTTAAACTAATGGGCGTGCGGGCAAAAAATTTTAGATTAATGGGCGGGCGGGCGGGTATATTTTTTTTAAAACTATGGACGGGCGGGTTAAAATTTTTTTTAAACATTGAGTGGGCGGGCATATTATCAAAAAACCCGCCCAATGCAGACCTCTACCCTACATCTTTCTTCGAATCCTTAAATAATTTCATGGGTATAGGCCAATACCAACCCCTATTGCATGTGACCTAAAATCGTGGATGTTTTTAGTAAACGCTGAATCTATTTACAACCCAATCTTCCGAAGTTGGTGCATGTCATTCCAGCGCAGATCTTTATTGTGTTTGGTGAGGTAATAGAAAAAATTTCAACTATAGGAAAAGTGACTTGAGTGGTTAATATTGGAGTTGTTAAATTTTCAATATATATTTGTCTTAAACCCGGATGAAAATTTGGTTCCGTGCAACGTATTTGGTAAGTAAAAACTTAAGCTTGTTGGTAAGGTTGGCTTACAATACTATAATATTGTTATTACTTTTAATTATTATCAAATCAAATAATTACAATTTGACTTTTTAAAATAATTATGTTAAAAATAATAAATAGATGTGAATTTTGTACAATTACCTTAGTTACATCTTTTTATTTACATTATATTTGAACCTGAGATTTTGATGTGTTTCTAACAAAATTAAACAAATTGGAGAGTTATTAAT